TTACTATACTCATCTTAAATTATTTTGTTATAGTCTTCATTGATATACAACAATTTTCTCACCGAAAGTAAAACTAAACATCAAAAGTATTTAGAATACTAAGAAACCACATATCAGATATATTATTTTCATAATCAAGTAACTTTAATATTACTCTTGGATCACTACAAAAATCTCTCTTATTATCACTGAAAGTAAAACTAAACATCACAAGTATTAACAACGCTAAGAGATTCCGCATCAGATATATAATATTGATAATCAAGTAGTTTTAAGATTACTTTTGGATCACTTCAAAACTCTCTCTGAGTATAGGAGATTCTCACTAAAAGTAAAATTACACATCACAAGTATTAAGAACGCTCCGAATCAGATTCCGAATCAGATATATAATATGATTATCAATATTATATATATTATATATATAGTAGTTTTAAGACCACTCTTGGATCAGTGCAAAAATCTGTTTGAGTATAGGAGATTCCATTACAACAAATTATTAACTTCATTCATCGAACACAAGTTTTTTTGCAAAATATAATCTCATTATTTAGCTACATCAAATACAATGTGCTCAGAAAGGGATCGATTCATCAGTCCAAAGAAAATACCAGTAGTTATTATATACCATTTTTTAATTAAATTGATTTTTAACGTCCATTTTGACAAAATAAACATAATTCTTAATATATACTATTGCTTTTTGAATGCTTTTTGAATATATACTATTGCTTTTAATAGAATGGTGTTTTGAACAGCAGTAAATTACAACATCAACATTTTAATTTATTTATACAAAAATGTAGGGTATTACAAAGAGTAGGGCATACATCTAAAACAGAAGTGCCTCTCGACAAAAACTTAACCAAAATTGAATTAAACAAAAAAGATCAACAATTCCAAAAATAAAATATTTGCTGATTTGCACACCTTTTTGGAGCAAATTTTTTAATGGTTTTCCACCGTAAATGCAACATTTATCTTCCATTAAAACCCAAAAAGGATATCACTTTTTATTCCATTTTCTTCTTCGAACAAATGAAAAAGACATTAAAACATTTTAAGCGATATTAATGAAAACAAAATAAAAATTGATGTAAAAATGACGTTCATTTTATTGAAATGTCAAAGTCAGCAAAACATTAACTCCGACACCCACTCATTTCCATTCCCAAAAAAGGAACTTCACAAACTTTGGCAAGTAAAACGCGGTGTTCCTTTTTAATTATAAACATTAAAAATCGTCACAAAATGACTTCAGTCATTAAGAATTTTTGAATAAGAAAAAGAAATAAAGTAGGGAATGGCATTTAAATGACGTGTTCTTCATGGGGAAATTTTTATAAGAACTGTTTTTGTGTGTGAAGTGAAAAATTTATGGAGTCCTCTTTCTCCGTCTTTTAATTTAGTATATAGTTATGGTCAATAACATTTGAAAACAGTTAACAATTTGCGGAAAAATTTACTCAGATTTTGAATAAAATATAAGTATGTTTTTTGTAAAAAGCTTTCAATTAAAATTTTTCAATTACCCAGTAATTATATGTAATGATTTGATTAGTTTTACTTTTTTGTGGCTTATCACTGCCCCACACTAAACTTTAACGATACTAGAATCATCATTTATTTATCTTCAAACTGATGACGAACCGTAGATCAGCATATCTTCCTGTGCCCCCTGAGGTGGCGTTAAGGTTTGTTAGGGCGGGGTTGGGCAACGTATCAACTTTTGTGATAGTTAGTTTTTTAATCTGAGTTCGAAAATAAGTAGTCATGGGTCATCTATATAAAATGTTTGACATCAGTGAGGCATATCTTATGAAATTTTACCCTACCACGCTCACCATCTTTTTGTAGAAGTGGTAAAAATGTCCTATTAAAACTACATCAGTATTTAGTTTTCTAATACCGTTATAATCTAGCACAAAAGAATATTTAAGAATGAGAATTTGTAATGCTTTATATTGATAAAATTTCAAATATATTAAATAAAATTTAATTAAATTATAAGGCCACCTTTAATACAAATCTCATGTTAGGTAGGTAAGTTAGAGTGGCGGCCTTACTTCCAGAAACCCACTTAAGCTCAATTAATAGCCCATTGTGTACCACAGAAGTAGCGTTGATATGTACTTAGACTGAAAGTTCAGTATACTGCTAAAAAAATCCCATATTGTTTTTGGAGTTTAGATCCTCATCTAATATTAAACGGATTTCAAAGCTTTTAATAAATCTAGTGCTTGCTGTTTGATCTATATTTTTCAAGAATTTTTTTTAAAATGATTTTCCGGTTTGAGTCCTTTTGAAACGAAAGAAATACTAAATTCTCGATATAAACTATTATTTTCAATAGTGAGGTTGTTTTTAATCAGTAGTGAAATTGCAATAACAAAAAGGTTTTTAATATTTTTAATTAATTGACAGTTTTTAATTGATTTAAAGCTGTCAGCCATAAATTCAATTAATTAAAAATAATTAAAATATTTGTTGTTGTAATTTTAAAATTTTTTTCTGTCCTGAACACTAAATTAAATTAGAATATTTACTAAAGCCTGGTATCTATATTACAGATAAGTATAAATATTCCATATACTATATTTCATGATATAGGTAAGTAATTATTGTAGATTATGAAGTAAGATATTTACCATAAAATTTACATGCAATATTAAATTCCGACCAATCACATAAGCAAAATTATAGATTAAATGTTTTAACTGCTATTGTCTATGGAATACAAAAATTAACATCTAAGATCTACAGCTAAGATCTACACAAGCATATCGAGCACTAAATCAGATTAAGCTTCGGTATTAAACAATGTTGGAACAAAATCCAAATATTAAAATTATTATAACCTTGATGTTTATCGCCCTTATAGTAAACTCTTTGCAGAAATCAGGCTCTCCATTTATCTCAGTCTTCTAAGAGTGTTTTGAGTTGCTGCTATGATCATACGGATTCATTTGGTGTCACTTGGAGCCTTCTTCGTCTTTTAAACTCCTGCGAACCCCTTTGCAATACCATTTTTGCTATTATTTTTATTTGTTGTTTTTTATATTAAGAAATCTTTGTTAGTAATCGTATTCCAGCAATATTTTCGATTCTCATATGAAGCAATCGCCAGTATGTAATTAGATAGTCAACTCTAGTTGTATATAACCGTTTTTATTGCTCCAAATTCTAGCAATATTGTATATTCTAGCCACTACACAATTATCTCTAATCATAATAACGTAATACAATTTTTTTCCTATTAATCTTTAAAACTATTTTTAAGATTACTTAGATTCCAAATTCATAACAAAATATTACTTTTTATCTACACATTTTTTTTATTGGTTCTTAATAAGTTGTTGTCAATTACTATTGCGCTCCATGTGTGTCATTACCAGGTTTAGTGTTCCCCACATTTTACTTTTTTTGCTCTTCACTTACATATTGTTCCCAACATCGTCTGTTGCCTTTAAGCTGTATGAATATGAAACTCCATACCAACATAAGGAGCGGAATACTTAAATCTATGGTTAACTGCAATTAAAGTTCATCAGCACAGAACAAAAATCACACACTCTCTGCTTATCGTACTTAACTTATCAAAACGTTAGAGAAAGGAAAATATATAAAAAGGCAATCAGAAAGAAGCGTTCACATATGATGTCCTTTTAAATCCCAAGAGGAAATTAAAAACTGCAGAGAAATAAAAATAAATACAAAAAAATTACAAAAAGCGCGTCACATTAAAATGACAGTGAAATTACACTACAAAGTCCAAAACACCACTCGCAGATTAGAGACGACAAAACAATGACCAGAACACCTTATTAAAGGATAGCGTATACAGCAGGACGAATAGGACACACACAGACAACTCACATATTGACGGCCCAGACACAGACAAACACCAAACAGAAAAATTCGATGGTTATCAGCAATTTTAGTGTTAATTCTGGTCTCAAAGTGACGAGTATCACTTTATATTCTGACAGGATATGAGCGCAAAGGAGCACCAGCAAGACATATAAATGTTGCCTGCAAGTCACAAAGGACAATTAGACAAAAGTTACGTTTATTT